GTGAAAACACAAAACTGGGGTGAAATCACCCGAAATTGGGGTGAAAACAGACAAAACTGGGGTGAAATCACCCAAAATTGGGGTGAAAACAGACAAAACTGGGGTGAAAACACCCGAAATTGGGGTGAAAACAGACAAAACTGGGGTGAAAACACCCGGAATTGGGGTGAAAACAGACAAAACTGGGGTGAAATCACCCGAAATTGGGGTGAAAACAGACAAAACGGGTGAAAACACCCGGAATTGGGGTGAAAACAGCCAAAACTGGGGTGAAAACACCCGGAATTGGGGTGAAAACAGACAAAACTGGGGTGAAAACACCCGGAATTGGGGTGAAAACACAAAACTGGGGTGAAATCACCCAAAATTTGCGTCAGGACTGCTCAAAATGGAGGTGGGAACCCCTGAGGTGGAAATGGGACCCTAAAATGGGGCAGGAATCCCCCTCAAAATGGGGATGGGACACCCCCAAAATGAGAATGAAACGCCCCCAAAATGAGGAGGAAACACCCCCAAAATGAGAATGAAACACCCCAAAAATGAGAATGAAACACCCCCAAAAATGGGGGTGGGATCCTCCCAAAAAGGGGGTGGGAATTGGGGTTGGAACCCCCCCAAAACGAGTCGGGGATCCCCTAAAACAGGAGGGGACCCCTCCCAAATGAGGGTGGGCACCCCCAAATTCAGGGGTCTCTGCCCCCAAATCTTCCTTGTCCCCCCACATCGGCCGATACCCCCGAGCGACTCCAAAAACCGATTTTATTTTTATTATTATTATAAATTAAGAAAAAGTTTTATTTCCCGCGTTTTGCCGAGCGCGGGAAAAAAAAATCCCCGCGTGGCCCCGCCCCCCTCGGGTCACGTGAGGTCGGCGCGCCACGTGATGGCGGTGCAGGCCAGGGCGCCCCCTGGCGGCGCGGCGCACAGCAGCAGCGATTTGCGCACGCTCGTGCCGAGGCGCGCGGCCGCGAGCAGCGCCCCCAGCGGCTGCGGCCGGGAACTGCCGGGACAGAGCGCCACTGCGCCTGCGTGGAACAGCGCGGGGGGGCCTGGAAAAAAGGGGGGGGTCAGGAATGGTGGGGAGGGGGCTGGGACCCCTGGGAGGGGGTCAGGAATAATGGGGAGTGGGCTGGGACCCCTGGGAAGAGGTCAGGAATAATGGGGAGGGGGCTGGGGGTTTCGGGAGCAAAGGAGA